CTCTCATCCCTTCAGTAATTAATTAATTAGAAATACTTAATAGTAATTATTATTAATAATCAATAGCTGGAATTAATTAATTAGTTTAGTAGTTAACATTAATTAATAACACAATTTCCTTTTTTTAGGAAATGATTGAAAGTGGGAGCTTCCCACTTCTCACTACTTTGCTTGGTGGTACGCTCCACTCTCCATGTTAGTGGGCTCTTTTCTTGAACTACCACTAATCAGAATTTGACACGTGTCCATTTTGTTTAAATCTTTAGAATGACATGTGTTTGAATGTAAATGAGCCACATGTTTGACTGTAGGGGGCTTTGGCCTGAAATCATTTATATATATATATAGGGCCACGTAACACATGCCATCACGTGAAGGTGCCAAACTACCGGTTGGCTCAATTGGTAATGTCTTTTCCAAACTACCAATTCCATTCTTTTCTCTTCTCTACAAATCCAATAAAACAATACGAATGGTGTTCACTCATGTGATAAGAGTCCTATCTACAACAACTAAACATTAACACTAGGGGTGAGCAAGAAAAACCAAAAAAACCGAATTGACCGATATATATATATATTATGTTTTTTATATATTATAAATTAATAAATATATAAGATATATAAATATATTTAAAATATTTAATATATTATTTATTATTTAAAATATAATATTTTATATGTATTTCTATTTTTTATTATATATTTATTTATAATATATACTATAAATATAAAAGCCAAAAAACCAACGAACCAAACCAATCAATCGATTAACCAGTCGACTTCAATTCAGTTTCGATTATCATTTTTCCAGAAACCAATAGTAGTGATTCAGTTTAAAACATAGGCCCACAATTCGGGGGCTATTTGGCATCATTGCTATTTCCTGGAGCAACAACACCACATCAACGCCACATCGGAAAAAACAATGCTCCAGGAAACAGGCATTTGTTTGAAACCGTTTTTCCATAAAAAATTGTGCTCCAAGCCATGCCTCGGAAATCGAGAAGCCCTGGCTTAGAGCAATGCCAAATTTGGCATTTCCTAGAGCTGCACCTCGTTGTTGCCAACAGGGCAATGATGTGGCACTGGATAATGGGTACCAGTGCTGAAAACGTTTTCTGGAGCAATGGTTCCAAATAGAAAAAGTTGTTGCTCCAGGAAACGTCCTACCTGGCAGCAACGATTCAAACAAAAATAAAGGCACCATTTTCTCTCCAAGCCACACATCAGCCTGCAACTGCAGCATCGATGCCAAACATGTACTCRATTAACCGAACCACGAGCGCCCCTAGTTAACGCCTCTGTTATATATTTTTTTAGAAAACAAAATATATTTATTTGTTATGRATAAACCTTTTCCAAAAAAAATCATTTTTTACACAGTCTTCATTCCCTTTCTCTTTTCTCTCCTCTCTGCCTGTTTGTAAAAATGTTCAAATAAAAACTCTCGGTTTTCTTTTTCTCTATGAATAACGAACAACCATCTTCAAAGTTTCTGTTTGCATGGCACTTGATGCGATCAAAAGCAGGAGCTCTAATGGTGAATCTGAAATTTGTAGGGACCAAAGTAGGGGTTTAGAGGTCATTGAAAAAAGAGGGGGAAAGGATCATCGGAGTTTTGTTGGAGTTTAAGGTATGAGACAGCAAGAGATAGGGAGAAGAGTGGCAGAAGTAATGGAACCGAGCAAAGATATACAAGAAAAACAGAGGGCTTAGGAAATGTTTGGCAAGTCTTATCTTAAGGAATGCCAGGCAAGTCTTTTTAGGTAGATCTTTCAACAGCCTAGTAAAAAAGATGCACTGAGCTTTTGGGGTCTTGTCTTTAAAGACCAAGACTGTTTGGTTAATTGATTTGCAATTTCACATCATGGTCTACCTGGCTGTTAAAAACAGCTGGAAAGGCTATTTTCAGTGTAGAAAGAACAAAACCTCCATTTAAAACTTTCCAGTTTTTCAGCCTTTTCAGTCTTTCCACACGCTTATCTTTGTGTCTTTTGGTCTATGACTATGCAATACCAAACGGGAAAAAACCATTTTTTTTGGTCTTGGGAGCTTCCTGCAGACTGAAAGATGGGCCAAAAAACACGCCAAACACCCCCTTAGTAGAGAAGAAACAAGAGTGGAGTTAGTTCTTAGTAGGAAATCAGATCGATGATAAAAAGTTTGTTTCCACCATGGCAAATGGGCAAATGGGCGACCATGTAAAAGTATAAATAGAAACACCTAATCTAAACCTCCCCGCTTTCAGAGCAGGGGCGGTCATGGGCCGATCACCCCTATTTCACAGGTTTTGTGAAGAATCTTTTTTTTTTTTTTTTCCATTAAATTCCTTCTACTTAATTCATTATAAGTAAACCAACGTTACATCATTACATATTCACATAATATGGTCAAAATTAGTAAATAAAAAAAGTTTAAATTTTAAAATGAACCAGAATAATGGTATCCGCCTCCCTTAACTAATGTTTGGATTGGTTTTCAAAAGCTGGAGAACTCCCATACAATTTTGATCGGTTTGTTCTATCACCCAAAATAAATGTGAAAACTGGACCAGGGATTGCACCAGAAAAATCTCTTTTTACGGATTAAAGTTAATCTACAGGTTTCTAGTTGTTTACAATAAACCAATTCCTGTTTTCCAGGTTCAACCAGTACTGCACTCCGATTTTTAAACATTTCCCAAAAGCCACAAATCATGTTACAAGTGAACTCTACAATCCCAGAACCACAACCAAATGCTTTAAATAAACTAGAATCAGCTTTTGAATGAACCGTATTGCAGAATGCTCTTTGAAGGTTCTTAAGTATGAAGAAGCAAGTGGGTAGGACAATCTTGACTTTATTCCTTTCTACCAAATGAGCTTTTGTTTCCTAATAACAGCAATGGAACACGTAAAAGTTCATCATTTTTTTATCAAATAAAAGTTCATTTAATCCAGGAAAAATACCAAAATTTTAAAAACTGAGAAGGTGAAGATATAATAAAGAAATGAGGCCGAAGACAATTTGTACAATATAATATAATCAGGTGCAGGTGGTTTATTTTATCCAAGACATCTTTGAAGGTGTCCGTTATGGCTGCATTTTTTGTTTATTACCTTTCATCATAATCAACAATGCAATGCCCCAAATGTCTGTTAGAAACTTGGTACACAGAATGTTGTGGCACTGAAGTGTTCTATTTTTATTATAAAAAATTTTGCTGCAATTAGGTTGTGATCACTCAAAGTCTGAGATGCTTATATATTACCTTATACATAAAGCAGCATCAATCAATTAGTTGTGCCCAAACTTCTCAATGATAAATTTACCCATCCAATTTAGAAATGAAATTATTTATTCTTTTCAACATAATGACATATCTTGCTGTTCAAGTAAAGGGTACATTGAATAGAACCTTATATATTATGGTAATAATTGATTCTCCCTATAAATTTATGTTATTGAGTATTAGTGGGTTAGTATATAAATTTTGAAGCAATAAAATAAGATTATGACACCCTCTGCATGCAACTAGTTTTTTATTAGCATACCTTTGATGACTCCATTGTAGAGATTATGAATTTACTATATATCCATCTAGATACTATAAAAATTCAAAATGAAGCTATTTCACTTCATCTAGCCTACCAAAAAGCTCTGTAAGAAATGAAGACACTTCAGTCTATGTGTCAACAGTCAACTGGAGATTCGTTGTCTCACAAATTGGTATTAGTTTTCATTATTCAAAGGATGACTTATGTATTGATGGAATAGAGCTTCTATCAAAGTAATTTTACTTTAAAGTAAGAGTGTCTTATTGAAGGTCAATGGTGAATTACATCATTGAAGTTTGTGGTTTGATCCTACATTAGAAATGTGCAATTACAAGGCCAGGTAATGTTTTTGAATGGGTTTTGCAAGTGCTCTCAGAAACCAAACTAGTGCAATCGATAGTTAATCTCCTGCTAGCATATAAGCTTTTTCTTTCTCTGTTCATACTCTATTTCATGCACTTTCCTAACCTTCAATTGAAAGGACAGGTCATACAGAGAAAGGAGAAAATATGGCAGATATTTTAGTCTAGGTTTATTATCAATCGTGATGAAATTTTCCAATGATAAAAACAAGATTCCTGCAAATTTGAGAGAAAAACTGAACTCTGAAAACCTGCTCACCTTTGATATTTCGCCTTTTCTTGTCCTGAAAACAAAAGGTTGTAGAAAGGAGTTTATTCATATTTGGAATAAAAGATTAGTAGACATATCATGATGATGAATCTATCCTCTATGCCTGGTTCATTTGGTGGGTACATATGAAATTACAAACTAGATCATGCCTGTAAGTGTATCACTCACCAACTTCAAATCAATGCTATGTCTTTAGCTACTTTCATTGTGTTGGATACATCTAATCCTGCAAAATTCAACCATCAAAATCAAAGAAAATGCAATGCCAAAGTTGGTACTTGGAATAACAAATACAAATGACAAAAATTATAATTGTCAGGTACAATTATGGAACCAACTGAGGGCTAGCTCGTTGGTGTGTTAGCTGGTTTGTTCCAGCGTTGACGCAGAATCAAATCCCGCAACCAGCACTTTGGGGAAAAAGGGGTCAGGGGAATTTTATTGATGGTGCATAGCACCGAATACCCAAAAAAATTGCCCATGCAAATCACATAATTTAGCCTAGCCCCTTGCCCCCCGTTTCAGTAGTCTCATAAGGGCAGTGTAATATTTATTGCTTTCTCTATGTTTCCCTACCCATATCTCTCACAATCTTTTTTTTTTTTTTTGATAAATAACGAGATATTTTATTGATTGCCATGAAAAAAAACAAGTATCCAGGCTTAGACAGCAGGGCTAATACAAACCATCCACAAGCTGAACATATAAACAACATATAAGTTATAACACAATATTACAACAGAGCCCCACGACTAGGCATTCCCCAAATACACCCCTGATTCATTATACCAGATCTTGCCAAGCTGTCCACTACAGCATTAGCAAATCTAGGAATCCACCTGAACAAACAATTCAAGCTACTTCCCGAAGCCTCCCTTACCAAAACTCTAACAGGAATTTCATATGTAGGCATTATTCATGGAATTTCATATGTACTTGCACAAACACGGTATATACAGTACATGAAACTTTATACTACAAACTAATAGTATGAATATTATGCACCCACAAAGCACCCATGCTCTCACTACTCACACCATTGTTCTAAAAGGAGCTAGAGACGTACACCTGGATGCACACCTTCAGGAGAGGCACTAAGAAAATGCCTGGAGGCATACAGTGGTTATAAAAAGGTTTGCTCTCGAGATTCAAAGATAAAATGTGCACAGAGAAAGTGGGGGTATGGACACTTTTAGCATACTGTATCTTATTTTATTCAGATTATGATTAACTTATAATTATTGTAAGAAAATAATGCAATAAGAAAATGAAAACACACACACACAACAAATGTAAAACTTATTATTGAAAGAAAAAACACTAAGAACTTAACATGCTGAGAGGCATACTGAGAGAAACATAAACTTTGAAATGCTAATGAGGCTTCTTAGAATCTATATTTAGACTCAAGGTTGCTTTAGATGATTATACCAGATATTGCAAAACATTCATCAGAAGCTCTAGAGAGAGAACTAGACGCTTGCCACTACTGCAGCAACCATATGTTTGTTGATTTCTGCCACCAATAGCCAGAAAATAAGAAATTACCATTAGAAACTACAACTAATACATCCATGCATTTGTTATGGATATTAGAGCATGAATTAGAAGTTACAATAAGATGAGAAAATATGCACTTACAGAAGCTGTTAAAATTTCAGACTTTCTGCTCAGCTTTAATATTCATGTTTTAGAAGACAGAAACTCGGCTACTTGTTCTTTAAATTCTAAGCCTGGAAATTGCCCAATATCATGGCCTTCAATAGGCTGAAATGCATCATGCAAACCAATGGCGAATTCATCTGGACGGGATCCACCACTTTGCAAGTAATCAGAAATCTGTTTTAGAAAATTACAGAACCTGGTAAGATTAATCTCTAGAGCAGTAGTGTGCAGGAATACAAGGCCTAGTCCAGGCATTGTTCACTGAACCATAACTTTTCAGGATAATGACTCTAATTATCAAATGATTGAACAAGCAGGAGTATTTCACCTACAATACATAGTTGGCATTCATAAATCATATATAATGAGTTACACGTTCAGTCAAGGATTAAAGTAGCGGTATCGGGTAACTCAGATATGGATACGGATATGAATACATTTTGGAAAATGAATATAAATTCCATAAATATATTACTAACTTTAGGTTTAATGTCAAAATAGCTACAAATAATGTATAAATACATAAGATTGTATATTTTAAAGGAATATATGAAGAAATAAATTACAATTAATATAGCAAGATGCATAGATATCATACAATTTTATTGATATGCATCAATCAAGATTCCAAGACACATATTATATAGATTTTTACAAATTAATACAAGCACAAAGCCATTATTATCTTATTTTATATTAAATTCCAAGGCGCAAAACATATGCAACTATTATATTTCAATTATTATATCAATATTTTTCTATTTTACTAATAATTTTTAACATTAACAAAAAATGTCAACTAAAAATTAATTCTCAAAATTTTGGTAAACAATATTTTCATTTTTGTAAACAATAAATATGTTATCATAAAATGCAAATCAAAATATTAATTGATAATTTATAAAAATATATAATCCTAACTTCAAATATATCAAATCTATTTAAGTTTCAAAGAGACATATTATATGAAAATTCATAAACTTTAATTACAACAATAATTATTCATTATTAATATTTTATTTTATAAATTTCTAAAATAAAAAATTAATTTTTTAATATAAATAAAGATCAGTGGATTTGATAGATTCAATTTATATTACATTTTTAAATATTTTATAAATAATATTTTTATTTTTGTAAATAATAAATACATGCTTATTTAATGCAAATTAAAATATTAATTAATAATTTATAAAAATTTTAAGATATATATCATGTGCAAATTTATAAATTTTAAGTATTAAAATAATTATTCTATTATTAATATTTTTAAATTTCTCTAAATTAAAAATCAATTTTTAATATAAATATGGATTTGGTAGATTATTTACTCCATTGGTTTATAAAATGTTAATTTTAAATATTATTCTTTTTAATTTGTAATTGGAGTTGTTGAAGATAAGCGTATGTTGGTTGTTTGGATTTTATGTAGATATTACAAAATAAAAGTTAATTTATTTCATTTATTGACATGAAATAAAAGTTGGCTTGGTGGTTAAAGATGCATTACTCTTGGGCACTAGGCGACTTGACCTCTTAGATTCAAATCACACAGAGCGTGTTTTTTATATTGAATGCGCTTGTTGTCAAACTAAGGTTCGATATGCTTCTGTATCAGTGCGTATTGGACTCTATCGGTCAATACTGCACAAGAAACACCAATACAATAGCATATTGGACAGATACGGACGACTAGAAGGACACACTTTCAATCGTAGCACATCCCGTGCCAGTATGATCCAATACCAATACGATATGCTCCATATCAGGCGTATCGCATTGATATTTTAATCCTTGAGTTCAATATATAATGTTTAGCAGAAAGGCAGATATTTCATGCTCATTATTAGACAATGTATGCACATTAAGACATCTCTATGTATGCATATAGGGGGCTGGCAGGACTGAACAGTGAGCATGGACATGGATTAGTGTATCATTGTATTTAAATCCTATGTAAGGAAATATAAGTGCACTTACATGATTGGCAAGAGCCATGCCACTCAAAGCTGCAGCTTCTAAACTTGAACCTAGTAGCCAGTCACCGCATATTCCAGCCCGTCCTTGGGGATCAAAGACGCAAGGAATTCCTGGACTATTAGTTGGAAGAGCTGCACCCCTATACATTCCAGGACAAGAAAAATATCTCAATCATCTGTAACAATGACAAAAATCAATAGTATTGCTCAAGAGTAGTTTCTCACCATAACTGAACACGGGTATAGAAAGGTCTAGTGAGTGATCCCTTTGATAATCCTAGTGCAATCTCAACACCCTCAAGCATGCCTTCTATCACCTTCTCTGCTGTGGCATTTGGGATATTTTCCTGATAAAACAGAAACTTAAATAAGATCAACATCTAAAAGGGAAAAAAACTAGCAATTTTGGATATTTTCCAAAAACCTCCATTATATTAATGCATGCTTGTTGATATGGTCAAATGTGACATGCATGGGAATAAGAAACTTATGTCACTTACCAATGAAACAGTTATGTCAATTTCCCACATTACAACTAAGAAAACTGATTTGATTTTCCTCTCTTGTTGTCTTGTAGCCTTTTCTGTTTCAGGCCAGATAAGGCTGTAATTTGATCTTTTCTGATCACTAATAAAATTTCTTGTTATTGATCAGAACAAGAAATATTCATATTCACTATAAATTGTGTTTGTATTCACACCGATAAATAATATGAGTTTATGACACAGGATCTTTTTAATCCAAACTGGAATTCTAAATGATGCAAAAACCTTTGCTTGTATGAGTAATAGATACATTAGCCCAAGTGTTTGGCTTTGGATACAATCTAGTTTAGCCATTCCACTACCAAAAACATTAGCCTAGGCATTTGGCCTTATGGCCTTCTGATGTCTTTTTGGATATTTTAACTTGTACACAAATTTTCTTGCTTGGGTCTGTATTCTGCATGACCACTCCATCTCAGTCAACCCACCATAATCTTGTTACCTATTAGGTCTACCCCTAGGAACATTTGAACGCATATTTCTAAGTTTATCCTTCCTAGTTTCACCAATCATCCATCTCAACATTGTAATACATGTGTTATTTCTTAATTGCCTAGGATTCTAAACCATAAAGCATGACAAGTCTCATAGCAATCACATGGAAATTTTCCTTCAATTTAAAAATTAAAATGCATCATTGAAGGAAACTCCAAACACAAATCACCTCTTCCACCTTGCAGAACAAAGATTATTATAATAATAGCTTTAAGGCAACTCTCGTTGATCAATCTAAGTTTGTTACAAGTTTCTAATCCGTCTTCATAAAAAGTTTCTATACACCCTGTTCCTGTCATTATCCAGCCTGCTTTTCAACTTAAAATTCCTTAGAATCATCCATAGTTATGAATTTCCATTTACTCCCTTTTTTTTGATAAATAATTTCCATTTACTCCCTTTATTATCTCATTAATGAAAGCTATACCACTGTTAAACAACACACACAATGGGACCTTCTATTGTACATACCCAGTTGCTTAGCTTTAACCAGAGCATAAAAGAAACAAAAAAGTAATGGACTCAATTGTAATCCATGGTATGTATTGTAACTGGATACTCATCTCTCCAATAAATGTTCTCATTCCAGCCACCATCACCTCACACTATTTCCAGATCATGTCAATATTGAGAAACACCTTATACCCTCACCTTCCAAATAATCTCTAGGAAGTAGGGGCTGTATCATATGATTTCTCTACCTGACCACCCTGGAATGAAGTGAACTTAATGTTTCAATATTCCCATTTCATGACTCAAATTCCATTAACAGAGATTCCTAATGTTCAACACATACCCCAATACAAATTGTCACAACCAATAACCAAACAAACATACATACAAGGATACGTGTATATAGAAAGAATCCAACCAAAAACGTACAAGTCGCAATAAAAAATAGCTAACCTGTGGAACTTTGTTTCGTTTTCCATAAGCAGCAGTGCTGAAGAAAGTCCAACAGTGAGGGCCACCGCTCTGTGAAGGGAATAGTTTCTTTGTGTTGTTTGCCATCCATGAAACAGAATCAACCCCTTTTACAAAAGCTCCTTCAAAAGCAGTTGAAATTCTGCTATTAGGGGTAGGAAGAGGATCTTCGAATGCTGCAAGTAGGGCCCAGATGGAACTGAGTTCAAGCTTCTACAAACACAAATAAGACATGGTCAAGTAGGAAAACAAACTTACAAATGCTTGAAGATGCATAGAGATGAAACATTAATATACATATAGCCTGTTTGGATGCCACATAAGTAAAATGAATTGATTGTAGCTTTTAAATTTCAGAGAACAAGTTTACCACCTAAAATGGATCCATTCCTAGTAGTTGGTGAAATATTGGGATCAGATCATTTCATATTTTATTAAAAAGATGAAATCATTTCCAACTTTTCTATATGGCCAGGATGAATCCATTTCAGGTTATGAAGATCAGGACATTGTTGTTAAAACTGGATCAGGCATCAAACCAGAAAGCTCTTCACTGGTTATACCAGTGGTTAAATAGTTCAGCCCATAAAAACCACCTGTAACAGGAAACATGAAAGCTCTCTACGGAATTGATTCATTGGTTTATCTATACAATATGGTTCAGGTTTGACAACAACAGTGTTTAGCTGATTAAAAACAACACATAAATTTAAGGGCTAAACAAAACCAAAGCGAAATGATTTTATTTGAGGCAACCAAGCAAGTTTTTATAATTTGCATCAAGTTTGAACAATTTGCATGAACACCTTCATTTGTCTTGCTATAAGTGGTAACCCCGATGAAGCAAGCAAGCGGTTTGCGCATTTTCCTGTTTATGAGAAAGAAAACAAGGGGAAAAAAGATCGGTATCTTATACAACCACAAATCCTCAGAGAAATCTAAGTAGGATCAGAAAGTCAAACAGGTGCCTAGTTATCAGATAAGTGATAATGGCATAACTTAAGGTTAAAAGGAAATCTGCACATTATAAAGAAAAGGATTAATGCCATTACTTTAAATTTCTGATTTAGTAAAAGCCAGAAATAATGTTTGTATTACACCTATTAGTTTTAGGACTCAAATGTTGAACGAGTACAGATGATGCCATGAGTCATATAGTACATATGGATGGTAGCCTAACATTAACTTACCTTTATGTGTACTTAAGATTTAAATTTAATTGAGACATATACTTAAATTAATGAAACAAAATAATGATTGAATGAGATAGACAAAAAGAGTCATGTCAGCAACAAGTTAACAACCATAGTACCATACCATAAGATAAGGTATACCAATTAAAAATGCATATTCTAAAGTAGAAACTCATGCTAGCACCTAGCACTTAGTAGTTGCTACTCCACAAAACGAGTGGCAAATGTACTGCCAACTATCAAGACAATTTTTACATAGTTGTGCAACAAATGAAGAATCCATCCCCAAAAAGGTAAATAGGTTCTAAGCATTGTAAGAAAACAAAGTCAATTTTACGCACATGAAGTTAACCAGAAAGCAGACAAATCAAATGGTATGGTAGAAGCCAACAACTGATCTATGTAGTTTTTTTTTTTTTTTTTTTTTTTTTTCCGGTTTTGCTTATCAGTAACAATTATTAAAGAATTACTACTAGTTACTACTAGGGGTGGCAAATGGGTGGGTTGGGTAAGGGTTGAATACCAACCCACCCATCTTGACCCACCAACCCACCATGCCCCATCATCAATGCTTGTTAAAGGATCATAACCCACCCTAACCCTGACCCACCCATATTGATCCACTTGACCCATTCATACGACCCTTGCCCACCCTCACCCATACTAACCCACCTACCATCACATATAAATACATAAACAGGTTGGGTCGACCCGTATGCCCTAAACAACAATTTTTGAGAGAATCAACTCTGCCGAGATTGTCAAGTGGTATAAACGGGTAGGATCGACCCATGTACCCAAAAATAACATTTTTGATGAAACACCTCTAAGTGATGCCACATGGTAGAAACGGGTCGTGTTCGCCCATAATACCCGAAAAATAACAACTTTTTGAGAGAAACAACTCTCCTGAGATTGCCACGTGGTATAAACGGGTCAGGTTGACCCGTATAGTCGAAATAACAGAAAATACCAGAAAATGCATAAATTAATCAGAAAAAAATGCAGAAAATTCACAAAAAATGTAGAAAATTGCAAAAAATGCAGAAAAATAGTAGAAAATTGAATAAAAGAGCAGAAAATAATAGACAATTGCAGAGAATGTAGAAAATTGCAGAAAATAGCAGAAAAATAATAGAAATTTGCAAAAAAATGTAGAATATGCAGAAAATAGTAAAAATTTGAAGAAAATACCAGAAGATAGCAGAAATTTTCGGAAAATAGCAAAACATAGCAGAAAATTGCAAAAAATAACAGATAATTGTAGAAAATAGCAGAAAATTGCAGAAAAATACCAGAAAATACTAGGAAATTGCAGAAAACAGCAGAAAATTTCAGAAATTACAGAAAGTAGCAGAAAATACAGAAAAAACCAAAAATTGCAGAAAAATACCAAAAAATTGCAGAAAATGCAAGAAAAATGCAGAAAATATCAGAAAATTCCAGGAAATTGCAGAAAATAACAGAAAATTCCAGGAAATTGCAGAAAATACCAGAAAATTGCAGAATAATAGAAAAAAAATACAAGAAAATAGCATAAAATTGCAAACAAATTGCATAAAATACCAGGAAATTGCAGAAAATTACAGAAAAGACCAGAAAATGCAGAAAATTTCAAAAAAATAGCAAATATTTGCAGAAAATGCAAAAAATACCAGAAAATTACAGAAAGTTGCAAATAAATAACACAAAAATAGCAGAGAATACCAGAATATTGAAAACATTATGCAGACAAATAGCAGAAAATGCCGAAAATACCATAAAAATGCAGAAAATTGTAGAAAATGCAAAAAAAAGTAGAAAATTATAAATAAAAGTGTATAACTTTGAAGAAAAAATGTATAACTTTCTAACATTTTCAACAAAATCTAGAAAAAAAAACATGCAAACATACAAAATTCCAGATGGGTGAGCTCTGCTTTCAACCAAGAGATTACTGATTTGAGTTTTCGTTTTGTAAATACTGAGATGGTCATCAGATCCCACATTCCCGTATCGTTAGCACCAAGTTCAGAAAAGCTTTGCCTTATTATGATCAGTAACCTTGAACATTTATATATTTGCTACTAAAACCAAGTAAGCAATGTGGAACAGGGACATAGAGACAAGTTTCAGACAAAAAATATCCATTTTTTGTCAACCAACTTACTTATTTTTCTATTTTACAAAAGCAAGTAATTAACCTGTTCCTTAATTATAAACAAAATAAATAAAAGATTATTGGGCATGATCAAGTCTTGTCATGTCTGTGTTGGGTTAAAGTTATAAACCATAAGTATCAGAGTAGTTAAAAAGCTGAAGCTGTTGAAGTGTGGCATTTCTGGTGTATAATGTTAATGTTATTTTAATCAAAGGAGTGAGCTTGGAAGATTAGACACATTGTGAATTGTGATCAGGGTTCATTGATGACAACTAGGGTCTTTTCATAGCTACTTAGACACATGACCTCTAACATAGTTTGGGGCCATATAACTTGCCATGTGTTCCAACCTGGGGTAAGCTACTCATGTGTCCCACCTTCCTAGAATGGAGAGTGATAGGCTCAAAAATCAGCTAACTAGAATATGATTCCAAATGAACGTTTCTAGTATCAAATATTTAATTTGGATGACACAGAGAAGTTCCATCAACATTCTTTAAAGTTCTGAAGATAATTCTTTATAAATGAAGTCATGTTTAAACTCAAACAGTCTGCTGAAACTCTGTTGTTCTATCCAATATTCTTTATTCATTGGGGATCATCCCATGGTGTTGATTGAAAACTTCTTTACCAAACCATATTATAATGAATAAACAACCAAGGAAATTAATATTTAGAAACAGGACTCACAGTGGGTTGAATAGAGCAGCGGATTTGAGGCTATAAATTATAATAATACAACTTTATGAGCTTGGACTTGTGCAACATAGCAGAAGATGTGACCTCCATTGCTCCAATTTAATTAACAATCAGTCAATGCCGTGGACCTTAATTTAAATTTACAGAACTGATGTGGGGTTCAGTGCTKGATATTAGATAAGATTGTCATAAAACAGTGACCATGTTCAATGGGCATGGGHGCATGGCAGCCTCAGAATCTAAGTTCAGACAAGTCATCGTCAAKCTTAAACAAAATAAAAGAAATGAAGTTATCAGGAATGGACGCTCACATCAACCCAGCTTAATTAGAACCATCACCTCTAGACGAGATATAAGGAGAAGACAAGCGGCCATTAGATATTTGATAAAAGAACAAATTGAAGACATACTTGCTGGGTCGATTTGCATTAGACTATACTGTAAATCTGCGGTGTTTAATAAATGAAGCTCCATTACAAGCACCAAGTTAAGGGAGACATTCATTGATCCAGTCCGGCAGCCTTGTAGTCGTTTCGTTCTTTTCTTTGTTTTATCTTTTTCTTCCAACAGTCGTCCAACACAGAGAGATCCCCATGAGCCCATGACTCAACTGGCCACGAATCATCCCACCTAACCAATGGGGATCTTTCTGTGCCCACTGGAGAGTAAATATATGTTTTGGGCACTTTTGGCATAAAATATATGCAACGGGGACAAGTTTCAGACATGTTTCATGTTCAACTTTTTGATTGAACAATATGACTGGGAGGCAGATAATCAATGAAGGCTGAGCAATGTCAAAAGATTTACCTATCCAAAACTCTTATGTACACACGACTTGAGATTTGAGAACTCTGAGAAACAATGGCATTGAAGCTAAGAGGACTATGAGAAACAATGGGCTTTTTCCCTCTTTGGGTGTAGATGGAACCCTCCATCAGATCTGCAGTGCCTTTTTTCCCCTTCTGTCTTCAAGTGGCATAGGAAAAGGGGAAAGACTATGTGGAAAGGTTTGAGGGCTGCAGTATGTTGGACAATATGGGAAGAAAGAAACTTCAAGATTTCTCAGCGGCTGAGAGAGGGGTGGAAGAACTAAAGGCTATCATTCATTTTAGGGCTGTACAGTGGCTGAAATCCTTGGAACTATTCACAGGTTACACAGTGGATGACATGTTGAGGAAGTGGGGTGAAATAGCAAAGTGCACACAGACCAAGTCGGTAATAAGTGTGTCTTGGACACCTCCACCTGCTGGGTTCATGAAATTAAATTTTGATAGGAGTAGTAGGGGGAACCCTGGACAATCAGGGATTGGGGGTGTCTTTAGGGATGAGAATGGGGTCATTTTTGCCTTGTTCTCAGGCCCAATTGGAGTGGGTGACTCCCTTAGAGCTGAGATCTTTGCAATTATGGAAGGAATCCAGAAAGCCAAGGAGATGAACATCAGAAAACTCTTAATTGAAGGGGATTCAGAGGTGGTGATAGGGTGGCTGAATGCAGACAACAATGGTTTATGGAGGTACAGTAATCAGAGGAGGAAATTTGAGTGGTTGGTGCGGGAGATGGAAGTTAAAATGTGCTGGGTCAAAAGATCAGCCAATTCTCTAGCTGATGGTTTAGCTAAACAAGGGGCAGAAAGGGATTCAATGTTTTGGGCTAAGTTGTAATTTTTTGTCTCTACCTATTCTTTTGTTTTCTTGATTGTACTTGGAAGATAAGTGTGTTTGTCTTCCTTATGTAACCTCTTTGGTGAATTAATGAAATTGTTGTTGATCAAAAAAAAAAAAAAAAGCTAAGAGGACAAACTTGTTTCAATGGCAGAGAGGACAATCTTGCTTCAATGGCGGAACAAAGAACTGCAAATGGATTGAAACCCTAACACCTTTCAATCTTGCACTTGATCTAAAGACTAGTGGAACAAAGAGCAAAGATCTGAAACTTAAATAATGGATTAATCTTCAATGGTGGAAGTTCGTTCGACTGAGAACTGAGAAAAACCCAGAGATCTTTGTTCGACAATTCAACTCTTGTAGCAACTCTCTCTCGACCCTCTCCTCTTACGGTCTTACCCTCTCTTGACCCTCTCCTTACCCAAGTGACCCTAACCCTTTTTGACCCAATGGGTACCCTCGACCCAACCCACCCTGACCCTCTTTTCCTTGACCCTAATGGGTCACTTGACCCATATAACCCACTGTTGAAATGGGTGGGTTTTGAAGCAGGTGGGTTGGGTGGGTCAAAAGGGTCAGGGTCAACATTGCCACCCCTACTACTACTACTACTACTATAGTAAAAGTAATGACACCTATGGTCCAAAAGATTGAACTATAGGGAATGAGTACCATTGAGGCATGCTGTTATAACAATGTGCAATATAACAACCGCATGATCAAACTGCAAGTACCATTATTAATTGTAGTAAAAATTGAGTACCCACATGGTCCAGATCAAACTTTACGGAAAGCATACCACTAAAGCATGTAGTTACCATTGTGTGCAATAACAATTGCATCAAACTGCCCACGAGGTTTCCCATTCTCACTTAAGTGCCACATCCCATTAAACGGCTCAAGTTTACTTATCCAGCAAGGCCTCACCATGTTAACCATAGAAGTCTGCACCAAGTGTCGAAGTTATGGTTAGAAATGGTGAAGAAGATGTCACAAAAGGCAAAAACATCCAATACAAGAAACAAGGAAAGAGCAAGAAAGTTATAAGGAGGCACAATAAGTTATTTGAGCAAAATCTGATTTACTAGTTTGCTGCTAACAAAGAAGGCTATAGTGCATAACAAGACATTTCCTAGGGAATTATAATCAATAAAGTGGTAATGAAGAAATAGGAGTTCAAATTTGGACACTTGAGTTGAAGAACTTCAACTACATCAGGGCTGGGGCTCAGACTATGAAGAAAAGATTAACCCATGACATGCCCACCCAAGCTACACTCCTACAAAGAAAAGGGCAATGCTAAGTTGTCATATAAAACTAGTAAGTGTGCACATGCTTTGCACRTGACATTTTTGATGATGATGATATTAAATAATATGTTTCCAAAATTTCTATAATGTTGGCAAAAAAAATTCTATAATGTTTTCATATTTCTGTCTATAAAAATTATTCTATTTATCACACTTATTTTTGTTTAGCATGTTGAATATACGATATTAGAGATGGGCCCAAATGTTTTCTACAATTTTTTGTATTTTTTATACTTTTGTGTGTTTTCACTTTTATTAATTTTTATTATTATTTAATTGTCAAAGCAATGGTTTACACATTTGACCCAAAAGGTTGAATTGTTGGCTCGCCACCAAACAGGAAAACAACTCCATTTTTGGGTAGATTTTAAATTTGTATTTTATTTCTATATCAATAAAAACAATTATTCTTTGTCACACCTATTTTTTTAATATGGTCATTTAATATAAGATTCAATGAAAGAATGGAAGTTAATATCATAAATATAAGACTTAATGAAAGGGAATTGAACGAGGAGAAATGTAGTAGTTCAAATTACATTTTATGCCCTCACAATTAGAGACCAAATTCAAAAATATGGGTATTCTAGTCAAGAATAGGATTCAATGAATTCAATGAGTTAATAAACTTAAATATAAGACTTAATGAGAGGGATTTGAATGAAGAGAAAAGTGGTTGTTCAAATTACATTTCTGTCCTTACAATGAAAGAGGAAACAAATTCAAAAAATGGGGTATTTTAGTCAAACAAAAGTTCCACATTCTAATTCACACTTTTAATAGTAGTATAGATAGTTATCTGCTCCAATCAAAACAAACTCCAAATAGCATTATTGCATTAAATCGGGATTTTACACCATGTCCTCCCCCCAACCCAGGTGCAGGCGGGATTCGATCCCGAGTCTCCGCTACGACCAATAGAAGACCTTACCAACCAGCTGGTTGGCACCTTGCTTTCATAAGGAACATTTTGCAGTGAGGGAAAATATTTATCTAAACATCAAAATCAGCTATACTTATTGTATCAAAGTCATTCAAAGTTTATATCTATGCGGCAGCAAACATCCATCACAACCATTGTGCCTTGGCCTTGCCCTTATCAACTTAACATACTTCAAATAATCATACTATTATCAGCAATAAAGGACAACACAGAAGAAAGTTGAAGCCAAAGTAGCCAATAAATTATGTTAAGGTGTTGGATATGGAATTTACACTTAAAAGTTGCAGTATCTGAGACAATATAGCACCCTTGTACAGGTATTCACATATCATAGCCAACAAATGTCACCCCACCTCATTCTTGGCATGGCTCCTTATCAAACATTTTTTTTAAAGTGAAAAATGATTTTATTAATAAGAAAGGGAGTGTACATTCACCCAAAGAGGAAGCACAAGATGTTACATCCCCTTAGAGGTGAGAGCATAAAACAAACTTAACATAATACAATCAAGTGGCAGAAAATAACTCAACCCTTGAGACCCCTTGTTTTGCCAAAGAATCTGCCATGGCATTTGCTGATCTGCTGACCCACTGATAGGTGACTGACATATTCCTTGTGAGCCAATTAACTTTCTTAAGAAGATCCATGTAGCCCCATAGAACTGTTTCTGGACTCAACAACCAACTTACTACCACCTTAGAATCTCCCTCAACTATCAGATTTTCCACTCCTAGTTGGTTTGCAGCATGTATTCCTTGCACCGCAACCAGTATCTCAGCCCTTGTTGAATCTCCAACTCCCATAGTCCCAAGAATAGGGATAGGATGTTTCTACCCTTACCTCTTAAGATCCCTCCTATGCCCAAAGGCCCTGGATTGCCTAAACTGCTGCCATCAAAGTTCAGCTTTACCACACCCTCTGTAGGAGGTTTCCACTCTATCTGTAATTTATTCTTTTTGGGGGCTGTGAAGACCACCTCTGCCCAACTTTTCCCAAGATCATCAAAAGAATAACCTCTTAACAGATCTAAAGTTTTTAGCCAATGAATTGTTCTTGTCATAATGCACTTCTTTGCTTCATCAATGTTTTTTTCCTTTTCTTGAATATTCTAAAATTCCTTTCCTTCCAGATAGTCCACAAAATGGCTGCTCTGATACACTTCCACATTAGTTTCCCTCTCTTAGTTGGCTGCCCAAAAGTAGATAAATCAAAAAGCAAGTTTACTTCAAATGGCAAGGTCCACCTGCAACCAAACAACATAAAGGCCCAATTCCAAATGTTAGCAGCAAAGTGGTGGTGATCCTTGTTATGCATTTTACACAAAACACACCAGTTTGGGGATATACAAAGGAAAGGTCTCTTGCTTTGCAGGTTATCCATAGTATTGATCTTATCGTAAAAAGCTTCCCAACAGAAAACAGCTACTTTAAGGGGAATGGACCTTGACCAGATTTCTTTGACAGGGAACTCCAAAGAGGGAGGGGCAGAACAAAGGGACTCGAGATAAGAAGCACAAGTAAAGGAGCCATTAAGAGTTAGGGTCCAAATTCTTCTATCGAGTTTAGAGAGGTCCAAACAAATAGAGTCCAAAAGAAGCAAGAGATCAGAGACACAAGCAGATTCCTCATCCCTTAAACCTCTACGAAACCCCAAATTCCAATTCAAAGACAAGGGGAGAACTGGGGGGAAAAAGAAATCTTGAAATAGGCTCCTTTTTAAAGAGGGAGATAGTGTAAAGGGAGGGAAAGCAATCTTTTAGAGGTTGAGAGCACACCCAAATACCTTCCCAGAAAAGAACAGAATTACCAGAGCAAACGTCATATCTTACATACCTGAGGAAATTAGGGAGGGTGCCTTAAATAGCCTTCCAAGGGGTTGTAAGTGAAGCCCATCAAAATACCCCCACATCCCAACCAGTCTTAGAACAACCATGAATGCTAGCCACCACCCCATGCCATAACCTCTCTCTTTCCAAGGGCCACCTCCAAAGCCACTTACCTAGAAGAGCTTCGTCCTTCCTAGCTATCTGTCCTAGCCCTATCCCCCCTTCTTTTTTGATTCAGCTCACTACTTCCCAGCTGACCAAATGATCCTTTTTTCCTTCCCCTGGCTCCCATAGGAAGTCCCTCATCAATTTTTCAATCCTCTTTGCTTCCCTGTTAGGTATCCTAAAGACTGACAGAAAATAAATTGGCAAATTAGCCAATGTAGCTTTTATTAAGGTCACTCTACCCCCTAAAGAAATGTAGTTCCTCCTCCAAGTCGCCAATCTTTTTTCAAACTTTTCCACCACAGGGTTCCAAAATAGACTTTCCTTTGGGTTGGCACCAAGGGGAAGTCCTAAATAGGTCAAAGGCCACTCAAAATAAGAGCAATCTAAGCAGGCGGGGATAGACTCCAAAACCCCTTCATCCAAGTTCAATCCAACCATGCAACTCTTTTCAAAATTGATTTTCAAATTAGAGGCATTCTCAAAGAGAATAATTAGATTCTTTAAGTTTCTCACTTCCACCAAATCACAACCCTCACAAAAGATGATAATGTTGTCTGCAAACTAAAGGTGGGTTACCAGAATTCTATCTCTACCTATTCTCCAACCTCTCAATAACCCAACCCTATCTGCATCTGATAAAAGTCTACTAAAAGCATCAACAACCAAAGTGAATAAGAAGGGGGATAGTGGATCACCTTGTCTTAGGCCCTTACAGGCTGGGGAAAAATCATTAACTACCCCATTGACTAGAATAGAAAAATGACAGGAGGAAAGGCATCCCTTGATCCATTTACACCATTTATTCCCAAACTTGCACTCAAGGTTCAAAGTATCGATACGATACAAGTTTCGGTCGTATTGTATCGGTACTTAGAAGCGGCCAGAACTTTATTTTTTTTTAGTTTTTTTTTCACATTTTGGTTTTTTGGAAAGCTTTTAACATGCTTTTTATAATTAAAAAAATATTGGGGGTCCGAAACACCTGGAAACAGGCGTTTCGGACCGTATCTTTTTCAAAAGAGACAATACGATACGCCCCGTATCGGGTGTATCGTATCGATACTTTGAACCATGCCTGCACTTCCTGAGCACCTCTAACAAGAAGCTCCAGTCCACTAGATCATAGGCCTTTTCAAATTTACAAACAAAGCCTTGATTACCTGATCTTCGCATCTCCTCCACGCATTCATTTGCTGTTAAAATTTGATCAATTATTTGTCTCCCCTAAACAAAAGTACCTTGACCTTGACTGATGATTGAGGGGAGCACCTTTTTTATCCTCAATGACAAGACCTTGGCCAGAATTTTGTAAATGCTAGTAACCAAACTGATAGGTCTAAAGTCTTTTGGATGAATGACCTCTTTCTTCTTTGGAATCAGGGCTAGAAAAGTAGCATTAACTCCTTAGCTTATTATTGAGCTTTCCTCAAACTCTCTAAAGACCTCGAGCAAATCTTCCTTAATGACATTCCAACAATCTTGAAAGAAAGCCATAGTAAATCCATCCGGCCCTGGGGCTTTAGATCTATCCATAGAAAAGATAGCATGTCTAATTTCATCCTCCTCAAAGTGCCTTTCCAACCATCCTTTATTTTCCTTAGAAAGTCTTGGCCAAGTAACACTTTCCAACTCCACCCTATTACCTAGAGGCCTCCTTAGAATAGATTTGAAATGGGCAACGAAACAATTGGCTATCTC